ACTTCATAGAATGAAATTCCATGATTGTGGGATTACATTAGATACTAAAGAAGACTCATTTGTGGAACTCCGAAATGATTTCTTACAGGGCTTAAACACCGTTTTAGAAATTTAACTTGTGCATACTCAGTGTTTTTTTAAAAGCAAAAATTACTCTGTCCTTAATTTTTTAGTGTCTGTTTCAACTTGAAGCCTGTAACAGTGCCAGGCACACAGTAGGTGCTTTGTCAATATGCGGCGGGACCTCTGCCTCTGTTAAGATGGAGGGCGTGTCGTTGTGGAAGGAAATGCCCCGTGAGGGTTCCACTGATGAGGGACACGAAGTCCTGGCCCTCCAGGAGGACACATAGCAGAACAGAGAGACGTGTGAGAACAGCCCCGCCAAGCACTCCATGTGTGGTAACCTGGCGGGGAGGGACACATTCCAGCCAAAGCCCGGCTGTGCACTGGCCTCCCTGGGACCACCGCGGGGGCGGGGGAGCGTAGTGCCTCGCGGAGCCGTGGGCGGGCGCAGCTCCAGGGGCCCGGACTTCACAGCAGCCAGAGCGGAAACACCCGCACATCCTCTTGGTTTTCTTCTGTTCCAAGGAATGTAATAGTAATTTACAAAATGTACACTTTGCATGGTGACTTCAAGTGGCCTTAATCAGATAAATGAAATAAGATGAACTGATTAATGCAGTCACATATTCGTGAGAATTTAGAATTCTTTGTTTTTGACACATGTGCTGTACCAAACATTTAGTTTTTAAGCTGTGTATTCTAAGTTTCTGAAATGAACATTCCTGGCTTTTGTGATTAGGGGAGAAACCGAGGAGCAGCCTCTGGGTACCCCTCTCTTTCGACAGAGCCATGAATCCGGCCTTTCTGAGAGGCTTCTGGAAGCATCTTGAGGTGATCCTTTCATGTTTGACTTGAGAAGCAAAGAATCGGTCTTTGTTTTTTTTTGCCTGTGAGGATTTTAATACTCTTTTCCATTAAAACAGCTTCAAGTCTATAACTGGTCTCCAGTCAGTGTTTAGACTGTTAGTAAATTGTCAGTCCGAATGCATCTAGCTGGTTTGTCTCCTTTTCTAAATTGGAAGTGAGAAGCTACTAATTAACTAAATATTAGCCTACCATATCTGAACACTTCAAAAATACAATGTGTATATATATACGCTAATGCCCTTTAAAACGTAATTTTTTAAAGATATTTAGCCATGCTGAATTAAATGAAAACTCTATCCTAAGTTTATAAGTTATTCTTGTGTGTCATACAATTTTTTAGTTTCATTTATAAATGCAAGAAAAGGCACCTGTGAAACCTGGTATGGAATATGACAAAATCAGATATTAGCATAATCACTTTGTGACGCTGCTTTCTGTTCAAAGAGAACTGAAATACAGTCAGTCTTCTGCATTTGCGGGTTTCATATCCGCTGATCCAACCATCTTCGGATCACAAATACTCAAAAAAAAAAAAAAAAAAAAAATCCCAGAATGCCAAAGAGAAAACTAGACTTTGCCATGTGCTGAGTCTACGTGAATTGAAGCGATGTGTCAGCAGACCCTACGGTAGCCTGTATGCAGATTTCATGTCATCTTGTATACGGGATGGAGTGTCTTCTGATTTGGGCACCCATGGGGCAGTCCTGGAGCCAGTCCCCTGCAGAAGCCCAGGGACAGCCGTATCCATTCTCCAAAGTTATTTTGACAAATAACAAAACGAAGCATTTGGAGATAATCAAGAGACAGAAGCTGGCAGTAGATTGTTTGGAATTTTACATACCTAGATACAGGTTAAAAAAATTTCTTTTTGTGGTAAAATTCATATAACGTACCATTTTTTACGTACACAGTTCAGTGGCATTAGTACATTCACATTGTCGTGCATGCGTCACCACCGTCATCCCAGAACGCTTCATCTCACAAAACAGAAACTCTGTCCCATTAAACACTAACTCCCCGTTCCCCCTTCCCCAGCTCCAGGCACCCTGATTCTGCTTTCTGTTCCTATGAGTTTGATCACTTTAGGGACCTCATGTAAGTGGCATCACGTACTATTTGGCTATTTCCCTGAGCATAACATCCTCACCATTCGTCCACGTTGTAGCATGGGTCAGAATTCCTTTCTTTTTTTTTTTTTAAATTTATTTTTCAATTACATTCAACATACAATATTATATTATTTTCAGGTGTACAACATAGTGATTAGGCATTTCTATACTTTAGGAAGTGTTCACCCCAATAAGTCTAGTACCCTTTCAACAGCATGCATAGTTATTATGATATTACTGACTGTTCCTTATGCTGTACTATACACCCCCATGACTATTTTTATAACTGGCAATTTGTACTTAGATTCTTGAAGGTTTTTTTGTTTTGTTTTGTTTTTTTTTGTAAAAATTGGTCTTAGTCTGTACACCATTGGCCCTTTCTCTCCAAACTGCATACATTATCAGAAAAGTTAGGCGGGAGATGCCCAGCGGAAGTGTGCATTAATGAAACTCGGCACTTTACCGAGGCATGCTGCTTAAAACACAGGTGTTTCTTTTGTTGGTTGAATGCTGTCTGATTTTCATCCCTGTGTAATTTACCTGCAAGGAGATTAGGAAAGCTCCTTTTTATTAAATAAGCTTGAGAACAAGATGAATGTACTAGGTTCTTGGGTAGAATGTATTGGATAGCTCCTTTTCGAATGAGCATTTAAAAATCTGCCCTCCTGAAACCTTAAAATGCATTTTCTCCTGTACGGAAAGCAATGTATAGTCTTGAAATATTCCTCCTTAATTTTGGTCTGGACGAACCAAAGTGTCTGTGTTTATTCCTGCCTAATGCATCACAAATCTGCTGACACGCTAACCTTGGAGTCTTGGCTGGCGTTAATCAGGCCCGTGCACCGGCAGGAGAGAAGGGCCTGCCGCACTCCATCAGCGCCGTTTGCATATGGAAGTCCTCGCAGGGGAGCTGCCCCGTGCCAGCCGAGGGTTACCTGCCCACTGCAGTTATTGTATGTAATTATCGAGCCAATCTGTTCAGCCCAGCAGGGTCTAGATGGTAATCATGAAGCAACACTTTGGAAAAGGAAGATGTAAGGCACTCTCCCCTTCCCGCATCGGTTGTGTGATGGTACAGCCACTCCCACAGCGATCTTTGAGAAGGAGTACCTCCATGTACACATCTGCTAAGCGAATGCTTTTAAAGTTTCTTAAGCTTAATCTAGTTGTTATTTTTGCATATGTGAAGCATTTTCTTTAGGAACATGGCGGAGGTATCTCTGAGTTCTGATCTTTCCACGGCCACCTTAAGAATATTTTGAAACAGCAGGATTAATTGTAATATATACCTAACAGTTCTGACCATTTGGAGGTTTCAGGATAACGTGGTTTGAATAGATAGATGTGACTTCGCCACACGGTTCTCAGGGACAGAACCCACAGTATGCACTAAGAAAGAGCACTGTGCCGTCAGCAGGTGTCATACCCTTTTGTAGCTCTCCACAAAATGGCCGGAAGCAAGGAAAATTCTCAGATGAAGTGCGACTTAATATTGTTAGAAAATAGAAATGAGGACATTCTGATTTATTGTCAATCAGTGAAATTTGGGAATCAGTGAAATTTGGGAAGTATCACATGATTTCGTAAATGGTACAAACTCATTTTAGGCAACTTAGAGAAGCTTTGAGTTATAACTTGCATTTTAACACATTTAAATTTGAGACCACGTGCTGTAAAGTTATATGAAAAATATGAAGTTTTAAATTTACTACTAAAGTCCTTCTAAGTTATATGTAAGTATAGAAATGTTAGTTTAAAAACGTTATACAGAAATGAAGTAGTTAGAAAATGTCCTAGTGATAGGAAATAATAAGTTGAATGAACATTTGGGGAGCATGGCTGGTATCAGAACCTAAGCATCAACTCCGCAGTAACACCCACCTGGAAAGGTAAATAAAAATAGGAAAGGCCTGAGAGAATGGTGGAAAGAAAATCCAACCTGTTTTTGAGATTGTACGAGCGCTATGTACTTGCCAGACTCTTCCTTTATTGTAAGGTTTATGGTCCTCTTAAGCTTTTCATAAAAATACATCAGAAGAAAACATTTATTGGAAGTTTGCCATTACTGATTCATGGATAGAATTTTACCACTGATATACTATGTGGGGCGAGGCATATATCTTCGCATTTATCGAGTGGGTTTCCCGCCAGACACACACTGTGAAATGGGGCGGATAAGTGCCACCGGCCTCCGTGAGTGGCGATGCCGAGTTATGAAGCACTTTGCTGTAACAGTTTTTGTGTGATCAGTGCTGGCGGTGACACATGGCTCTCAGCGATGAGCTGCACCAAGCGTCAAATCAGAGGTACAGGTCACAGGTGTACCCCCTGCCCGCCTGCCTGCGGTTGAAGGTGCTGAACCTCAGTTTTTCCCACACCTACCCCTTGCCTCTGGCAGCCGCCTCCGAGGTTGCATCTACTGGTCCAAAATTATTAAGTGGAAAATTTCAGAAATAAGCAATCCATAAGTTTTAAGTTGCGCGCTGTTCTGAGTAGTGGGATGAAATCTGAGGCCGTTGCCCTGCACACGAATCGTCCCGTCGCCCGAGGATCCACCGCCCATTAGTCTCTAAGCGGCTGTCTGGGTTATCAGACCGACTGTCGCAGTATCAGTGCTTGTCTTGTGTTCGAGTCACCTTTAGTTAGCGGCCGCAAAGCACGAGTAGTGACGCTGGCAATCTGGCGTGCCAGAGAGAAGCCTTACGTGCATCCTTTGAGTGAAAACGTGTGTCCACAGGAAAAAGCACAGTACCGCGTGCCCGATGCGTCTGCGGCGGTCTCCGGGCGGCCGCCCTCGGGCGAGCGGGCGACTGTGAGCTGTGCCTGTTTCCACCCACGCTCCCCGGTGTGGATTCACGTATATACTAGTACATGGCAAGTCTGTATGTTTACTTACTCGACCATCAGACCACATCTCTCTCTTTCTCTCTCTCTCTTTAAAATAATTTTATACGCAAGAAGCGGAAGAAGGACGTGGAGGAGCGCACGGAGTCCAGCGTGGAAGACATGGACTGCTGCCCGGCGCCGGCGGAGGAGGCTATGCGGACTCGTGAGTTGAGTCGGCTTCCGGGGGCCGTTGCCACGGCGACGCGATTCCCTTTGAGTAGGGGCTCACTGTTTGGGTCACGGCACTTAGATGTCATGGTAAAATACCACAGGGGAAGGTCTTACATTTGCGTAGCATGTGTCACAGTGTCTTTTGGACACACGTGTTGTCTGCTGTTGACAGCAGTCATGAAGTTGGGACCGGGAGCCACTCTCGTTTTGCAGATCTGGACCCCAAGACCCCGAGCGTGTAACCGGCAGGGCGGTGGACAAGGCTTAGACCCGGGGCGCAAGGCTCTGACCTCTCAGGCGCTCCCCGCGCTCGCCCCCCGACCCCCGCCCGTGCACCGAGGCCGGTCCCCACGCAGTGCCAGCTCTGCTTGTCTTGACAGGTTGGGACACAAGAGATTAAAGCCTCAGATCATCAGTTTTCAAAGCTCTTGAGGCAGAAAGCAAAGCCTAAAGTTATTTTTTGGATGACTCAAACTGACATTAGCGAAGCGGCACCGCGGGGCAGGCCCAGGGGGCCTTTGGCCTGGTCTGGTGGGTGAAGGGCCCGGCCGCGGTGTGCGTGGGCGACCTGGGGGTGGCGGGGGCGCCCAGAAGGGAGAAACGTGTCCCAGGTCTCGTAAGTTTGTTGACTCTATGAAGAGAGATTCAGTGCTGGCTACTATACCGTGTATTTTTCCAGATTTCTCTGCTGTCTGCCTTTTGTTTATTATTTTGTTGGTCCTTGATTTTTCATAGAAAAGGAGAATTTTTTGGTAAAAATTCCATTAAAGCGAAAGTGCCCTGTTGAGTCAGGTCAGCGGTGTGTTGTAACCTCCTCCGACTGTGGCCCCAGTGCGTGTTCGTAGAAGGCGAAGCTTCAGCTCGCAAAGAGCTGTTTTCGCCCCGATTTGAACATTTTCTTCATTACGTATTACGGATGGAACATAGGTCTAACTGCATAAACTTAGGTTTTTCTGAATTCCCCCATGAGGACGCTCGGGGTGTCTGAACAGGGAGTACGTGACTTCACTCTGGAGGCTGCAGCTTTCGAAGTGGTCCCTCTCCCTTCTCTGTCGCCGTCCTCCGTTCCCTCCTGTTCCCCTGCCCCCTGTCTTGTCCGTTCTGTCACTAGGAAGTGAGGCGTCCCGAGGAGCAGTACACGGAAGCATGTCTCAGCCAGAGGCTAGCGGCAGCGGCTACGACTGAGTGGGAGCGAGACTGAGGAGCATTTACAAAGACAGAGTCACATTCTTCCTTAAAGAAATCCCTTAAATTCTACAACTGGCTGTTTTAGTTTAGGAAGCCCTACATTGTTCTAGTAAGGTCGATACCCGTTTAGAGCAAAGCGAATTCACAGCTATGCAGGAGGAGGACTCGGTCTCTCCAGGCTGCCTGGGGTCGTGGTCACTTTGCCTAGTGAGCATCAGAGGTATTTGTTTTGATACATAATGATTTTAAGTTTGGCTATAACTATAAAAAATGTTTTTTATACCTAAGAATTTAACTTAAGGTCCTTCTATTGATAGTTTTTACTGTGAGAGTATTTTTGTTCTATTTATTAATGACAAGAGAAGAGAGTGGATCCCATCGCTAATTTAAGAACAATCCAGATTTTTTTTGATTAAACAAAGAAGATAAAGAGTAATCAGATTCTCCCTTATTCATATAAACTCTGAATTGCTTTACTTAAATGCTGTCTATTTTCCTATTTTCCCATTGTAATTCATTTTCCCCTAAAGTATAAGGCTAGTTAAGGTATTTTAGTATCTAAACATTCATTGATGAGAGAAATTTTACTTGAGATGGGAAAGTGTTATTGCTTTTAGCAAAAAAAATAAAAGCCAGGAGTGACGAAAACGTATATATTTGTATTCATCAGTTTAAAGTAACTCGAAGAAGGCACATTATTGCATTTGGATTTTTTAAAAAAGGTAATGCAATTCAGCGAATTCTGTTTTAGAGCTTTAAGATTTTGTGTCATAAATGTATTTGAAGAATGGTTACCTCTAACAGCAGCTTTAGAAATGTCAGTTTCTTCATTAAGAATTTTATTTTCAAACACAGTTTATGGTTTACAATATGGTAAGAGATTTTTCTCACTGTGTGCTCTTTCAGAATGCCGTGCCTAGCAAATGGGAGCAACTTTCCTTTAATATCTATTTAGACCATTTTAAAAACATGTATAATTTTCTTGATACACCTAAACTCATTTCGACTAGTTGGGGGCCTATTGTGTAAGAACACATTCTGAAAGCTTTCAAAATGTGTATTGTGTAGGTTTTCTCAAAGAAAGAGGGGGTGACAGGGTGGTTTTCAAGAAGAACAGAGGCCTCTAATCCTTTTATTTTTATGCAAGGCATAATTTTTACCAATTGAGAAAATTTGGTTATTCACTGTAAGTAATTTCTCTCCCCGACAAAATGATAAGCCTTAAAAAACCATGTGTATTCTGGCATTTCAAAACCATGCCAATGTTTCAGAATTGTACTAAAAATTAGTTAAAGTAGCCATGATATTTATGGCTAGTACGCTCTGTCCCTGCTGTTCGTAAGATGGACAGTGCTCAAAAACCAAGTCTCGTTGGTGTTTTCTTTTTCTTTCTTTCTTTTTTTGAAGTACCTTGGATTTTAGCCCATTCTCGAGGATTCTGTGAGGAAAACATGATTTATGTTTACTTCTTAAATGTCATATCTACGGTCTAGTCAAGAAGGAGGTATTTTTAAGGACACTGTACAAAGAAATTCCCCACTTATTTTTTGCCTCCTGCATTATAAAAATCATACAAGAGTATCCCAGACTGGCGTATTTTATTTTTCGAATATTAAATTTTATACATTAGTCTGATGATTGGACTTTTTAACCGGTGGTAGCGTATGATGAAAATGAGTGTATTTTTTAAAGAAATGAGAAGGAAACTAGATTTTTTTTTTTCTGTAGCAGTGAGAATTATTAGGAAAATATTGTGTCTAAGTTACATAATATTGATTATATAATAAATTCCGGGTGGTGATAGAACTTTTAGTTGCAGTGGGGAAACTTTAAATCTAGATCGAAGAGGATAGGTAGCAGCGATGTTTAATTTAAGAGTAAAATGTCACATTGGGATGTTAATGAAAGTGATAATACTTGAGTATAGCTGTAATCATTGTTAACGTTAATGTCTTTTGTGATGTGACTATAGATTCGAAATGGATTGAAAGGGAGATGTACTCCAGTATAGGTTATTGACCCTGATCTTGGGATATCCCATTATGCCGCTCGCAGGCAATCACAGCATTCTCGGTTGTCTGTGCAAAATTAATTTCAAAATTCTTAAATGAAAACCTAAAAATGTACCCCGGGATAATTTTAAAAGAAGGCTATATCACAAAAACTGAAGAAAAAACTCAAAAGTTTAAACCAACCATAATTACGGGCTATGCATTTTAAGTGGCAGAAAAAAAAAGATACTCATATATGTTTGAAGTTTGCTTTAATATAGTGTATGGCCATCGAATAGAAACTAGGACGGAAAAATAAAAGAGCACTAATTTTTAAACGGATGTTCCAGTTAAATAACTAAATAAACCTGCGATCAGAAAACCTTTAGACACTCACCTTAGACATGTGTGGTAGATATTTTGTCCTAGATTCAAAGACTGTTTTGTGCGTTTCAGAAAAGAAGTATCGATCTCTTTGTTGTTTGGTGCATTCATTGATTAATTATGAGCCA